ATAATATGCAAATTGATAATGATTTATGTGAACTTGGGGCTAGTGTTAGCCTTATGCCATGTTTGGTATATCAAAGACTTGAGATGGGGGAACTTCTACCCACCAACATTACCTTACAATTGGCCGATCGTTCCATAAAATTTCCAAAAGGTAAGGTAGAGGATGTTCCTCTAAGGGTGGGAAAGTTTGTAATCCCGGTGGATTTTGTTGTGTTAGAGATGGATGAAGATGTAAACATTCCAATAATTCTAGGAAGACCTTTTCTTGCTACTTCGGGCGCTTTAATAGATGTTAAAAGTGCTAAAATTTCACTAAAAGTAGGAGATGAGGTGATAGAATTTGATTTGAATGAGAGCATGAAATATCCAAGCTCTAGTCTTGATAATTGTATGATGATTGATACTATTGATTCTATTGTGACTTCTATGCATGAGCACTTGCTCACTACTAACGATGCCCTTGAGAATGTCCTTTTGAATAAGGAAAAGATAGGTGAGCAAGGCAAGGAGATGACATTGTATGAAGGAATTCTTGAAGGAAGTACGGAAGAAAGCATTGAGCAAGTATGCATAGGAATCACAAGCAATGATGCTTTGGAAATAGCTACCTCGAGAGAAGGTAAGGGTATTCCAATGGTAGAGTTAAAACCTCTACCATCACACCTAAGGTATGAGTTTTTGGGTCCTAATTCACCTTTACCGGTAATAGTGAATTCTTCTTTGAACGAGTGCCAAACTCAAATGTTATGCGGTGTTTTAAGAAACCACCAAGGTGCTTTGGGCTATACCATTGATAACCTCAAAGGTATTAGTCCTGCTTTATGTATGCACCACATAACACTTGAGGAGGGTGCTAAGCCTTCCATTGAGAGGCAAAGGAAACTCAATCCTCAAATGGGGGAGGTGGTGAAGAAAGAAATCACCAAACTCCTTGATGTCGGCATCATCTTCCCCATTTCGAGTTCTAGATGGGTTTCCCCATTCATGTGGTCCCTAAAAAGGGAGGAATGACCGTAGTTGAAAATGAGAATGGTGATCTCATTTCAACTAGAACGGTGACCGGTTGGAGGATGTGCATAGACTATAGACGTCTAAATGCATCCACTAAAAAGGATCATTTTCCTCTTCCTTTTATCGACCAAATGCTTGAAAGACTAACCAAGCACAAGTATTACTGCTTTCTTGATGGTTATTTGGGTTTCTTTCAAATCCCAATAAACCCGGATGATCAAGAGAGGACAACTTTTACTTGTCCATATGGTACTTTTTCATATAGGAGAATGCCGTTTGGACTTTGCAATGCACCGGCAACCTTTCAAAGGTGCATGATGAGTAAGACATGATTGAAGCCGAAATGGAAGTGTTCATTGATGATTTCTCGGTAGGGGGCCTTTCATTTGAAGATTGTTTGTCCAATTTGGGCAAATTCTTAGCAAGATGTGAGAAGGTCAACTTGGTCCTAAATTGGGAAAAATGTCACTTCATGGTTGAAGAAGGAATCGTCCTTGGTCACAAGATATCAAGGAAGGGGATTGAGGTTGACAAGGCCAAAGTTGAAGTGATTGAAAAATTGCCACCTCCAATTAATGTGAGAGGAGTAAGATCCTTTTTGGGGCATGCCGGGTTCTATAGGAGATTTATCAAGGATTTCTCACAAATTGCTAGACCCCTAAATGCTCTTCTTCAAAAGGATGCCATCTTTATTTTTGATAAAAAGTGTCTTCAAGCTTTCAACAAATTAAAGGAGGCTTTGATCTCTACTCCAATCGTGCAAGGGCCAAGATGGGATTTTCCGTTTGAACTTATGTGCGATGCTAGTTGTAGGGAATAATTTCAAGCGTTAATCCCCTAGCTTGAACCCCACTGTGATCATACACTAAAGTACGGTGGCGTCCTAAAGGGAAGAAGATAGAGCAAAAGAGTCACCAACAAGTTTTTTTTAGGAACTTGTAAACCGTTCACGAGGTGAAGGTTACACCCCTTAACGATCCAAGAGATCGTCAACTCCATAAGGTCTTGAACCAAATAGGGTTCGGGGATGAAGGTACAAATCCAACCTAAAAGAGATTGAATCTGCCCTAATAATAGGCCTCTACTTTATTCAGATCGTATTCATGTGCGCTTTCTGACTAACATGCAATCAATAGGATTACCCTAAACCTGTTTATCTATGTTGGTTGAATTTAATGCGCAAATAAATCTATTATTGATGATCACTTGAATTATAATCAAATTAACTCTAAACAAGATTATTAATTATCTTATTAAGTGTGATTACAAGTATAAAATTCCCTTTAAACATGCATAAAAGGTGTGATCAAGCATAACAATAAATATACCACCAAGCAACATAATAATGATAATCATAATAACAGTAATAATCATCATAAAAAAAATAATCATCATCGTAATAATTATAAAAATAATAATCATGTTAAAGCATAATAATAATTGCAAGATCCTAGGCATGATACTAACAAGATTAATAACAAACCCTAGAATGTCACTAAACATATAAAAATCAAATCTTTAGCCCTAACATGATACTAACAATCATAAATATTAGGAAGAACATAAAAGGCATCATAACAATCATACTTAATATTAAAGTTACCCTAGACATGATACTAGGAATCATAATAACAACCTAACCATGAACTCTATATCATAATATCAATAAATCAATTAAATTAACAATCATACTTAATATTAAAGTTACCCTAGATAAATACACACGTTAGTAACTTCAAGGAAAATAATAAACAAACAATAAAATTAAATAATAATTGAAAGAGAGATTTGGGACCAAACCCTCAGAAATTAAACCTTTCACGTCTAGGGCGAAGGCAACTTCGAATATGGCTAGGTGTATCTAGATCTAATGAATGCGGAATTTTTATATGACAGAAGCTAGTTTAGAAAAAGAGAGTGAAAGAATTGGTAGATGATTTATTGAAGAGAATGAGAGAGAATTGATGATTGTTGGTGAAAACTGGTTATCGAAAACGGAGTTTTTAGCACGTTATTTATAGAGAAAATCAGCCAAAAAGATAAAATATCAAAATAGAGTTCTGGCGCACATAAAAATTAATTAGCGCCAACGCTGGCTATTGGCGCCAGACGCCAACATTAGCGCCAGACGCTAATGTTAGCGCCAGTCGCCAAGCGTAGCGCCAGGCGCTACAGCTGGCGTTTGGCGCTGATCTAGAAATTCACGCGTTTTCTTAAAATTAGATAAAAATTGCCGTACAGGAGGATAAAATCGTATTTTCCTCAAAAAATACTCTTTGATTTTAATTAAAACTCTGAAAAGTCAACAAAAGTCAATTTATCAATGCTAATTGAATTAGGAATGAAAAGAACCTTCTAGAAGAATCTAGAAGACTAAAACCATTCCTAATTGCATTAGGAATGATAAATCTATATTAAGCCCTCCTCTAGATCATTGGGTCGCATATAAGGCTTAAAACAGGCCCAGTTTAGTAAATTGGCCATAACTTCCTCAATATTCATCGAAATTGGGCTTATAATATATCGTTGGAAAGCCCTTGTCAAGCCACATCCAACTACACAACTATTGGACCCATATCATGGACCAACCAAACTGGATTGGCTATTTTCTTAAAAATAAGTTTTCAAAAACAGAGAGAAAAGAAAAGAAACTAAAACTACCCGCAACACTAAACTTTCCACACTTTCACTTCATTCGATTGTGATTCGACGTGAAAGGTACTCATCACTGGGTTTGGTTTTGGGGAGACACAAATGGGTGTCTACACTAGTGATGTTGCAATTGGAGGGGTGTTGGGACAAAGAACTGAGAAGAAACTTCACGTCATTTACTACATGTCCAAGACCTTGAATGATGCTCAACGAAACTACACCACAACGGAGAAGGAGTTTCTTGCCGTAATACATGCTTTTGAGAAGTTTTGGAACTACCTCATTGGTTCCAAAACTATTGTTTATACCGATCATGCGACTATTAGGTACCTTGTGGCAAAGAAAGAGTCCAAACCTCGCCTTCTTCGATGGGTCTTGTCTCTCCAACAATTTCATGTTGAAATCCGGGATAAGAAAGGGCCCGAGAATGTGGTTGCGGAGCATCTTACCTGATTAGAGAATGTGAAAGATAGTGATGATGAAATCCCCATTTGTGATGAATTGAGAGATGATGTGCTCTATATCTTGAATGAGAAGGAGCTTCCATGGTTCGCCGACTTGGTAAACTATTTGTCTTGTGGAGAATTCCCTCCCGATTTCTCCAAAAACTAAAGGAAGAAGATAAAAAGGGAATCAAGGCACTATGTATGGGTTGACCCCATTCTCTACAAGAGAGGAGTAGATGGTTTGCTCCGTAGGTGTGTTCCGGATGAAGAAGTGAAAAATAAGCTCAAGATGTGTCATTCCGATCCTTGTGGAGGGCATATGGGAGCAAACAAAACAGCATTGAAGGTTTTGCATAGCGGGTTGTGGTGGCCTCACATCTTTAAGGATGCTTGGGGGTTTGGGAAGACTTGTGACCGGTGTTAACGAACCGGCAATATATCCAAGCGAAACGAGATGCCTCAACAACCGATTCTTGAGCTAGAGGTATTTGATGTGTGGGGTGTTGATTTCATGGGGCCATTCCCTAATTCTTATGGAAATCAATACATCCTTGTGGCGATCGATTACGTATCAAAATGGGTTGAAGCCATGGCCTCCCCAACTAATGACCACAAGGTAGTCATGAAGATGTTCAAGAAAGTCATATTTCCAAGATTCGGATTTCCTAGAGCAGTGGTCAGTGACAACGGTTCACATTTCGTTCATAGTGCTTTTCAAAAGATGCTAAGAAAGCATGGGGTTCACCAAAGATTCGGCCTTACCTATCATCCACAAACTAGTGGGCAAGCGGAAGTGTCCAATCGTCAAATTAAATTAATCCTTGAGAAGACGGTTGTAAGGAATAGGAAGGATTGGTCCTAAAAGCTTGATGACGCTCTATGGGCATATAGAATGGCATACAAAACCCCAATAGGCACAACTCCATATCGTCTTGTGTATGGAAAATCTTGTCATCTACCGGTGGAGCTTGAACACCGAACTCAATGGGCAATCAAGAAGATTAACTTCGACTTGGCTAGCGCGGGAGAGCAAAGATGGCTTGATTTACATGAGCTTGAAGTGCTAAGATTGGAGGCCTATGAGTGTGCTAGAAACTACAAAAATCGCACCAAGGATTGCCATGACCGCAATATTGAAAAGAAAGCATTTCTTAAAGGCGTTAAGGTACTCCTCTACAACTCTAAGATGAAATTGTTTCCCGGGAAACTTTTATCAAGGTGGAGTGGTCCTTTTGTTGTCAAGGAAGTGTTTCCTCATGGAGCCGTGGAAGTTTGGTATTTGGACGGAAAAATATCCTTTAAGGTGAATGGGCATCGCCTCAAGCTTTACTACGAGGGTGCTCATGTTGGTGTAATAGAATCAATTCAATGTAATCTTACCTCCTGAATGTGGAGGTCATCAAGCTATTGACGTTAAAGAAGCACTTCCAGGAGGCAACCCGAGGAAAAAAAATCGAAGAGAGGTAGAAAATGAGAAATAGAACGATGAGTGAGCGAGAAAAGAAAGAAGAATGTTGGTGATATCTCTGATTTTGGCTAAAATTTGATTGAATTATGTTCTTATGGTTTTGATACAAGAAAAAAAAGGGAGCAAAAAGGAAGCAAATAAGTAAATAAATCAAGCCATAAATAGTGAGGAGCGGGTGCTCCTCAACATTGCACGCCCGCTCCTCACAGGGTGAAATTCAACAGCCGAAACAGAAGGTTTTCCAAAGCTTAGGAGCGGGCGCTCTAAGGAACTGCAGGCCCGCTTTGAAGCCAGGAGCGGCCGCTCCAATATTTGCACGCCCGCTCCTCACAGGGTGACCACTTTAGAAGGAAAAAACAGAAGGTTTTCTACAGCTTAGGAGCGGGCGCTCAAAGAACTGCACGCCCGCTTCGAAGCCAGGAGCGGGCGCTCCAAATTCTGCACGCCCACTCCTCACAGGGAGATCCTTTTTGAAAAAAACAGTAGGTTCTTCAACATTTAGGAGCGGGCGCTCCAAGTCCATGCACGCCCGCTCCGTCAGATGGAGCGGGCGCTCCTCCATGTTCACGCTCGCTCCTCAACGAAAAAAAGGGGTCAGTATGTTTGCCCAGGTCTGGAGCGGGCGCTCCTCCTTACTGCACGCCCGCTCCACCTGTCCGGGTAAAAAAAAAAGAGAGAATCTTACTCCTCCTTTTAATCTCCTTCACCCATTTTCACCAATCATTCTTACATTCATATTCTCTCTCCTCATTCCCATCTACTTCTCACTCTAAAAACCCTCATTTTCTCCAACTTCTCTCTTCATTTTCATCATCAAATCCTAACTTTCTTCACTCAAAACTCACAAATTCTTATTCTCCATCAAATTCTCTCTCCAAAACCACAATATTTCATAAATTTGGGCATAAATTTTGAAGACCCACAAGTTGAATTTGAAGAAAAACAAAGGAAAAGGGCCAAGATTGTTAGAGAAAGAGGAAATTTGGGTAAATTGGAGGATTTTAGAGTATTTTCATACTCTAATTTGTAAAATCTTCTTCCCTATTTCACTTTTTCTCTTAAACCTTAGGGTTTGTGTTCAATCTTCTTAAATTTGTTTATTTCATGAATGTTGTGTGATTATTTGCATGATTAGGTGATTTATAACAAATTAGTTGCTCTTGAAAATTAATTGGTGAAATTTTGTGAATAATTATTGGAGTAGGAGAATTGTGATTGATTTCTTGTATAATCTTGGTAAAATTGTGCATGAAATTTGTGTGAATTATGATGGAATTGTTAATTAGTTGTGTTGGAATAGTTTGTTGGTTTTATTGGAATTATATTGAATTATGGAAGCAGGTACTTAGATTAAATCGGGGGTTTGAAGTTTCGGAGATTGTTTGTGGTGTCTTGTGAGTTTGTTTGTGGTGTTTTGAGTTAACTTTTTAATCCAAACCTTAATAAAAAATGGTTCTTCGTTTATTTGGAGGTGCGGGAGGGAAGAAGAGGAAGACTACTTCCGACATCCAAATAAACGAAAATCGTCATTCTGAGAACCCAACCGAAACCCCAAACGAAACAATAGATCAAACCAATCCTCCCCCTTCAATAAAATACCCAAAAAATCCAAAGGTTACCACAAAAAGCTATCCACACGAAAAATGCTTCCAACATGATTTTATGACCAAGAGTCGTGCCAAATGCTAAGAATAGACGACAAAATTCGTCAAGTGGCTGCAAATTTCGGATGGTTAGACTTCCTTAAAAAAAGGGAGGAAACATTCGAATCAGTTACTCTCGAATTCCTATCCACCTTAACCGTGAGAAAGACTAGTGGGGAAGGAGAGCCCATTGAGTGCGAGATTAAGTTTAACATGTTCAATAAACCTCAAACCATAAGCTTAACTCGCCTCAATCAGATATTCGGGTGGCCCATTAGCAACCAAATAACCAAACCCAATAGTTACAAGCTCACCGGTTACGACGAGTGTAACTGGTGGAACACTATTGCGGGGTACCCCACATTCACGTCCCGGTCTAGCCACGCTAGCCATATCATCCACCCCGTACTCTGTATATTCATGAGAATTATGGGGTATGCTTGCTTCACAAAGCAAGATCTCGGGAAGCTAACAAAAGAGGAGATTAAATGCCTCTTTATAGCTTCCCGATTTGAGGGGGATCTTGAGGGGAACGTGAATATGGGGTACATATTCATTAAGCAGTGCTACGATATCAAGATGAGCACGGAGTTGACGAGTGAGATTAAGTGTGGTGGGATGATCACTATCATCGCCAAGTCATTGGGTTTCACCGGTTGGGTTAACCAAGTAACCCCAATTGAAGGCCCAAATGCTCTTTACCTTGCCGATTTTGCCACAATGAATAAAGGTGACCACCTACTCTTGGTTGGTCAAAGGGAAACACCACTGTATTCTCCCTAATGCGGCGGTTATGAACACCGTGGGAACCACTTGGCAAGTGTCAAATGAGCCACTCCCCGGCAATGTTCCCGACCTTGATCAACCATCTCAACCCCGCCACCATAGCATTTCTACCATTCCTAATTTCATGGGCAGTCAATCCTCCTCCTCATCTTCCTCCTTCAACCTCGAGTCGGCCTTCCACCACCTTAACCTTTCTAACCAAAGAATTCTCCAAGAAAATGAATATCAAAGCTATGTCTCCCAAATGTCCCACCAAAACCTCGTTTAAAGGGGAGACTTTCTCCCTTATGTCAACTATCCTTACCGACCCATTCAAGATGGGCTGGTTGCAGGTTGGAACGACAACCAACCCACCTATCCATTTTGGCAAGGACCTCGTAGCTCCATTTCGGAGCTACGTTCCTTCCCTCCCTGTGATTATACACAACTTTGAGGTTGTGATTTTAGGGGGACCCCTCTTACTACCACGTCCCCGAGACATGTGGTAGAATGACTCCCGAGGACATCGATAACCACCCCCACAGGGGATACTTCGGGTTTTGACGAGGGGAAAACTAGGTCGTTATCTAATCTTCCCTCGGTCAAACTAAATTTATAAACACTTAACAAACCTAAATACGAGTATAGAGGCAAGTCAAGGGTCGAACCCAAAGGAACGGTAATGTTCAAGCACTTTCAATTATGCGCCTAAGTTAGGTCGAAGACGAAGGTAAGAGAGAATACTAACAACTAGCAAAACAAGTAACCAAGGAAATAAAACACTAGGAACGAGGATCAACAAGTAATCATGTCAATTGCAACAACTTGGGAAGAGCATGCCAATCAAAGGTTGTGAGGACTAAATGATAAGAGCAATCAATAGGAATCAAAGAGCTATCTCCTAATTGTTAAGCTAGGGTTCACTATGAATAACAAACTAAGACAATCACAATCAAAACCAATTGATAATTGCAATTCCTAAATCAATTGTTCATGTCATTAGCAATTACAATGCAATCTAGCATAATTCTCAAGGCCAAATTGAATTACACACATGCAAACCTTCACTAATCACTTTAATCTCAACAATTAATCAACACAATTCCCAAATTAATCACAATTAATCAATCATACAAGTTTCACCCAATTCCTAGCCAAACAACTATTCAAGAATCATCATCTATCAACTAACAACTATGGAAATCAAGAATCAACAAAATACCAAGAACAATTACACTAATCAAGCATCAAACATCAAAATTAAACCAAACAAACATGAAATTAAACAAAGCAATAAGGTGAGATAGATTTAAGAATGTTCATTGATGATAGAGAAGATCTTGAACTCAAAGGAATTACAATTCTATTTATAAGCAAAGAAGAAACCGGAAAATCCCGCGCCCTCTCCCGATGAACCCGCGGCCGCGGAGAAATGGGTATGGAACCCTCCGCGGGCTATCAAGGGTAACACCCGCGCCCGCGGCAGTATAAACCCGCGCCCGCAGCTAATCCCCTGCTCCCAAAGCTCAATTAGGGGGTCGCGGTCTCTCTGAGACGGAGCGCCCTCTCCAAGTTTCCCGCGCCCGCGGAGAGCCCGCGGGGCAACCGCGGGTAGTTCCTGCCAAAATCAGGCCATTTGTGCTTCTTGAGCCCGCGCCCGCAGCTTCACTGACCCGCGCCCGCGGCCTGCTGGAAATACCTTGGAGACCTCTCCGATGCCTCTCCAAGGCCTCTCTAAGCCCTATATAGCCAAATTCTTCTTCCTTGCTTGGTCATTAAGGTCCCAACTTGATTCCTTTGCAAAGGTGATTCTCCAAGTACCTACACAAGCAAACAAAGAAAGGAAATAAAAGGGAAAAAGAGCCAAATAAAAGGAAAACACGAGAACCATAAATAAGAGGAGAAAGAGAAACTAAAGGAAAAATGACCAAAAATAAGAGAAGAAAGCATGAAAAAGGGAAAGAAATAACCCTAAAAGACTACCCTATGAGTGCCATAAATGACACTCATCACGTTTCCACCCGGGTATGATGGTGGTTAGGGCACTAGTAATGCACCGGATTACGGTCATTACCGTAATTTCCCCAACTATGATCTTCCTCCATATGTGGATCAACCTTCCTATTCCGGCAATTTAGATCCTAGCTATAATTTCTTGCCATCGCCGAGTAGGGAGGAGTGATCGGGAGTAGGCTTAGACTTTTGATTTTACCATTCCCTTCTCTCCTTTCCCGTCATTTGTAACACCGAGGGCGGTGTCGAGTACTAGCTTGGGTGGGGGGAGTTGTCCTCTTTGTTTCCATCTTTTGTGGGAACGGTATTCAAATGTCTAGCTTAGGGGGAAGTCTAGGGGGTTTTTGTGCTTAAAAGTAGGTTTTGGTTTTGGTAGGATATGTGCTTTCTTGTGATGCTTTATGTGCTATGTATGGAGAAGTTTGAGTTTGTATGTGGAATGTTTGGCATGAAAGGCTTAGTTTAGCCTTTGGGACTTGTGGTAGGATTCATATGGTT